TGCGCCACCGGGCCGGCCCATAACAAATAGTTTTGTACATATTATGTATTGGTACTTATTTCTGGAATTTAAATTCCTTAAAGTGGGATCGTTAGGTCAATGTGTATGTGTATCTTTGTTTCCATAGAGTTTTCCACATAATGTTCCAAGAACATTTTAGCAATTCACATTTTTGCCCACTTTGTATATAAATGCCCATTCCCCCACATTCTCAATAGCACTGGAAGGTATCAATCTTTCCAATATACTGCCAATCTAATGTGTTAAATAATTATATCTCGTCACTGTTTCGCATTACATGTCTCTGACAACAGTTGACAAGTAAGGTTGACTGTGTTTTCATACGATATGTCTATTTGTATTTCCTCTTTGATAAATTGTTTTTATATTTCCCTTTTTTAATTGTCTTTTTCTAATCAATTTGAAGGCAATTTTTGTATATTAGGGTTATCAATTCTTATGTTATCTGTGTTGTAAACATTTTTTCAGTTTTTAAAAATTTTGTTTAAGGTATCTTTTACCATATTGTACATTTTATAGAATCAACTTTGTGGGTTTTTAAAAAATGTGTTCTAGTATAGAGTCTGTGCAGGTCTCCGATTTCTATGATTATACAAATATTCTACATTTCTTCATTGAAAGATAGAATTAAATTGTGGATCCATTTGGATTTTCTTTTTAAGTCCAGCGTGAGGTGTGGAGAAGTGTTTAAACCTCTCTGAGTCTTGGCTTCCTCAGCGGCATCATGGACAAAGTCGGTGTGAAGGAAAATGTGTGTTAAACTTTTAGCCTGGTGCCTGGAAGATGGTGGTACCTGAGGATGGTTGTGATGATTACAGTGGAACCAGGTCCCTGACTGTGGCCTGGAGCTCTTTCCTTCATCTTGGTGACCTGGTTCATTTTAGTGACTTTGGCTCGTTTCTCTTGGGCAGATATGATGAAGGAACGGAGGATGGAGGTTGTCTGCTGCCCATTGCCCCACTTCGAACCAGGAGGGCACCCCCTACTGGTGGGGCATGTGCTGCAGCTGAGGTTGGGCACTGAGCCAGGATGGGGGGAGGGGGCAGGAGCAGAGGTGGGGGAAGGGGGTTACGGAAAAGCCTTTGCGTGTAAGCGATTCCACAGCTGAGGGTTCCCTCTGGGTACCAGTGAGACCTGAACTCACATTGCGTCAGGGCTGCCTGAGCTCCCGAGGGACAACAGGTGACAGTCTTCTTGTCCAGGGTGGACTCTTGCTGTAAAAACAGGGCAGGAATTGGAGCTGAAGCAGAAGTGGGAAGTGCAGGCAGGGGACGGCTGGGACGCTGGGGAGTCTTTCAGGGGCTCCTGCTACCTCTATCAGCACACTATTCCGAGGAACAGATCAGAGAGCTTGAAGAGGGAAGTAGGAGATGACAGGAATCCTGGGCTGCGGAGCTTCAGAGGGCTCGAGCCCCTGTCTGCAGGCCTGGACGTGGAGCCTTGGCTGGAGCTCGGAGCTTTTCCTCGCTGGAC